AAAAGGGGGTGGTGTAGAGATATAGAAATCCAATCATTATTCTTTCTGGAGTACTTGCTATGTCAATCAATGTTCTAGAAGTATTTTTGAGGTGTCTCATTTAATTGCTCAATAACCCCATGCACTAGTTATTGCCTTATCCCCAACTGCACAGATGAGGAATCTGAGGTATAAAGAGATTAAACAATGAACCCACTCTAAACAAAAGGAGGAATGAAGCCTAAGTCTTCAAGTGACATAAGGCAATGTAGACAACTCCTGAAAACCCTGCTGATGCTGGATGGGGCATGCTTTATTTATTCCCTGGGATGAGCTCCGTTAATATTATGTACACTTTTGTCTTTTAAAGTTTGGTATTTAATCAGTTTTTCTCCGCCTAATCTCCATTTTCTACTCTGTCATTACGCTCCGATAACAGCAGCTCCAACAGCCATCCACAAAAATCCCTCTCAACAATTCACTGATTGGGTTGAAGTCAATCTTATTTTTTTCATAATTATAAATTAATTTTCTGTAATATGCAGAATTCAGTGGAGGAATTTTAATTAAGTATTCTGAGCATTCGCAGCCTGATTTCCAATGGAAGGCAGGTTTCCCCTTGCCTTGGCATTTTGGTGAAGTTTGTCCCCAAGGTGCATGTACTGATGAATGTTAATTCTTTCTAGCCTATGAGCATGTGGCAGGGGAAGGAACATGTACAGTCAGTTCATGACACACTCAACTTTCCCCCAGGACCCTATAAACAAAACTTCCAACAAATATATGTGTATAGGTATACTTTTTAATATTCTTGTTATACAGAGCTAATCAAAAATTTCTGAAAACTAAAAAATTTTAGAACATTAATTTTGTTGGATGTTTTTCTCTCTGGAATTGTGGCAGCCACAGAGTTTTAGTGGCTGTTGCAGATAAAAATATTTCAAATCCCTAGCACCCCACAAGGAGAAAAATTAATAGTGAATGAGTAAAATAGATGAATAAATAAGTAAATATGGAACACTAGGCTTCAGAACTAAGCTTGAGTGCTTTATCATAGCTTCAAAGGTGTCCCGCTAAAGTGTGACAATAACACGCTTGACTATTCTATTATCCAGCCCACATTTTGTTGTTATCTACAAGGATATTATGAAAAACAAAACAAGAAGCCAGGCATGGTGGTACATGCCTTTAATTCCAGTGCTCATGACCAGCCTGGTCTATATAGCCAGTTTGAGGTTAGCCAAGAATAGAAGTGTTGAGCAAAGGGGTCAAGACCATGCTGGGGAAACCCACAGAAACAGCTGACCTGAGGAAGTGGGAGCTCAGGGGCTCCAGAATGACAGCTGGGGAACCTGCATAGGACTGAACCAGTTCCCCTGAACGTAGGTGTCAGTTGGGGGACTTGGGCAGTCTATGGGGCTCTGGTAGTGGAACTAGTACTTATCCCTAGTGAACAAATGGGCTTTGGGAGCTCATTTCCTATGGCGGGATACTCTCTCAACCTAGATACATGGGGGAGGGCCTAGGTCCTGCCCCAAATGATATGACAGACTTTGATGATCCCCCACGGGAGGCCTTACCCTCCCTGAGGAATGAATGGGGATGGGATAGGGGGATGGAGGGGAATAGAAGAACAGGAAAATAAGATTTTTAATTTAAATAAAAATTCATTAAAAACAAATAGATAAATAAAACAAAATAAAATAAAAAAGCTAAAATCAAAGCAAGAACAAAAACAGACAGAACTTGCCTTCTATCAGTCCATATCCATGACATTTACTGTGACAGCTTAGTGGTATAACGGGAACAGGAAAACCCAACTCTATCCAACTACACTCCCCATCCAACCTCAGTGCTCCCACAGTGAACCAGGACTGACAATTAGTGGTGCTCCCCACTGTCTGGTCTGAGCTACCTCTCCTGGTCTTTTCAGTTTGGTGATTCAGAATCACCGAGAACTCTCCAGGGGGCTGTTAGAAATGCAGGCAAGAGTTTCAATAGTCTGATTTGAAACCAAGAGCCTAATCTAAAATGAATATGGATGGGCTGATATTTTCTCAATAGAACGTATTTCACAGTTTCGTTTGGAAAGCCAGGATTGTCATGCCACGCTCTTAACTTTCAATCAATATGTGAAATTTAAGTTGAGAAAAGAAGCCGAGATTTTCAGCATTCAAGAGTCATCGGCTTTTCTAGAGGTTCTTGGGCTAGCTGGTAATAACTGAAGGGTTATTAAACACAACTGAGGTTCTCGGGATTCTAAACACTAATTCACTTCTGCCTTAGTAACTGAAATTCCCATTTATAACAGTCAAATGCTTGTTCTATTTATTTCTACACAGTGAATCGCCATCCTTTTATTCATTAAATTATCTCTCTCTCTCCCCCACCATGTGTGTGTGAGTGAGTGTGCGAGTGTGTGTGAATGAGTGTGTGTGTGTGTGTGTGTGTGTGTGTGTGTGTGTGTGTGTGCGCAACAGCACCTATGCAGAGGTCAGAGGGCCATTGCTAGGAGTCAGTCCCCTCCTTCCATCCTCTGTGTTTCCTGAGACTGAACTTAGCTTTTTGGGTGCCTTTACATACTGAGTCATTTCTGTGCTCATTATCTGTTGTAGATAAAACATGGTTTATTTACAAAATAAAAATTTGAAGTTGTTTTAGTTCAACTTCTTTCCCCGTAGAAGTATATCAGCAGATATTCAAACCAAGGAATAAAATGGTGGAACTGTCAATATAAGGGATATTATCATAGCTGTAGCTTCTTGTTTTATGGAGAAATATCGATAAGTGTTTTGTCCCTTCAACAAATCTGAGCCACATGTTACTATAATATGACTATATATAGCTGTGAGAATTTGTGCACATATACTTGCAAACAAGATTCATCTATAGGTCTTAATGGAGGTCAAATATTATACATGCATGGGCATGTATTTAATAAAACTACACCAAAATTTATCCTGTAAGGATAAAATGCCCATCAAAAGACAAGAGGCGTTTGAGTGCTACACACTGGAAGTGTAATAACAAAATGAAATCATGTACCAGCAAGAAAAGCACTTTTTCCTAAGTCTCTCAAAAATGCAAATAACAGATTTTTAAAGTAAGGTTAGCCCCAGGACACACACTACAATCAATTCCTTGCCAACATGCTCTTAGTTGGGATTTAACCAACTCAATTCAAATTCTAGTAATTTAAGTCAGAATTAAAAGATAACCTTTGCACCACCATTTCAAACCATTTAAACTGACATTACTGGGCCCAGCACACACCGACGTTTGGCATACCTTTAAAATGTACATCACTTTTAAACCCTACTGCAACTGCGCAGTAGGCACCAGCATTCACCAGACGAGCACATAAAGACATTCTTCCAATGGATGTGACAGCAGGAGCCATTTCAAGAATTAAAGAATGCGTTCTGCTTAGTGTAAACAAAACTAGTCTGCTCACCTTTTCTCCTTACTTTCTCAACAAATACTTAATGAGCAAGGGTTGAGAATTCTCCACTATACTAGACAGACCACATCACAGTTCTTTTAGAGCTAAAAGGTATGTTGGAAAAGGATGAGCACCAACGTCTCAGATACCAATGAAATGTATATAATCAACTAAACTCAAAGGAGTTTAGAGACTTATGTGTTAGGGGAAATTCAGGTGTAAGAGTATAGACAAACAATATACCCTAAAATTCCAGTACCCAGTCACCACAGCTGAAGAAATGTCCCCAACTACATGTGAGCCCAAATTGTGTTCAGCTTAATTCCTGTGCTTAAATGGCCTATTTCCTGGGCCACCTCAGACCACTCATTATTTGGGCTTCAGTGTTCTTCTATATGTACAACCATTCTTCTGTCAAACATAATGACCTATGATTATAATTCCAGTAATGTTTACAGTTTAAGATGTTCCAAATCAAAATGTTTTACTGAGGAAATGATTGGCTGGCAGTCTTAAGTGATTAATGACATTATCTTAACATCACTAAGTGGAAATTAATTATGGCAAATAACTAATAGCAAAGAATAAAACTAATTCACAAAAACAACCCTTCACCTAGGAGAAGATACATTCACATTTTGGCAAATGAATGTATTCTGTGACTGCGAAGTGGATGGGCAGGATGAAGAGCAGGAAAATGCCAAATTCAATTATGATTTCAGCATTAAACAAACAGATTTCTTGCAAGTCCAAGCAGAACTACATATAGCAATGTATTTATATATCATGCCTGATAATCTCCTAAGCTTCTAATATATTACATTGTGATTTAGAAAGTAAGAAATATTAATTTAAGATAATATCAAATATTCTACTCTAATGAGTGTTAGTAAAGAATAATATTTATGTAAACATTTTATAAGAATAGAAAAGCTAGAAAAATATTCTGAAACATTAATTGTTTTGTAAGTATCAACCTATTGAACTAACAAAATGAACATTCATTGATCAAATATGATACAGCAATAACCTGGTTAACTTAAAGCTTTGGATCCATCTCTACACTAACTGTATAGAATTTAGGCAACTTGATTCCATGTGTCACTTCCCTAACTTCAAAAATGAAAACAATCTTCCACTCAGAGATGATTTGGTGATCAGGGCATTTGACAATTGTGGTGGATTGAGTGAGAATGATAGGCTCATATATTTGAATAATTGGACCCTAGTAGACAGAACTGTTTAGAGAGCATTAGGGGGTGTGGCCTTATTGATAGAGGAATGTCATCATCCATTTCTAGTTAGTTCTTTCTGCTTCCTGCTTGTGGATAAAGATGTAAGCGCTCAGCTTCTGCCACAGCACCAAGCCTGCCTGCCTCTTGCCATGCTCCTTGCCATGATAGTCATGGCCTCTAATCCTATGGAAATGTGAACCCCAAATTAAATGCTTTCTTTTATATGTTGTCTTGGTTATGGTGTCTTATCACAGCAGTAGAAAAATGGCTAAGACAACAATAAAATGCCCCCAATTAGTGGTTAACTTTTAATAACTCTTCCCCTTAGACATGGACATACTTACTTTGAGAAAGACTTGCAGATCTTGAGTCTGAGTGTGCTGGAGAATGTCTCGCTGCAAATGCTTGAGAACAGCGATGCAGATATACACTTGATAGTCAGGACCAAGGACAACACAAGTAGCAATATAATGGCATATTTCTATCCAATCTAAGTAGTTCCAAAAGCACTGAGTTATCCACTGTAGGCAAATCTTAAAGAAAAAAGAAGGAAGAAATGTATTTGGAAGGAGTAAAAAGCCACATATGCCTATTAAGAAATAGGAACCAGTAACACAAGAAACTGATTTTAAAAGAGAAAGAGAGAGAGAGAATGAGAGGGAGGGAGGGAGGGAGAGGGAAGGAGGGAGGGAGGGAGGGAGAGAAAGACCTTGTGTGAATCAGACTAGAAAAGCATTCTATTCAGTGGCCTTAAAATTCTGCTTTTTTGGCTAGAGTCCCAAAGAATCCCTGTTTGCTGCATGTGTAAGAAGATTCAAGCCTCTGGATTCAGGAACTAAGGACCTAATGATGCTCACGCTCCTCCTACGTGCTTTCCTCTGACATTTGTCTTCTTCTTACCACAAATGCCAGTGTAATCTGCTAACAAATTTGAAGAAGCTACCTGAGTTCAGAGATGTTCTTTTTCCATCCTGCCTGTAATCACAGGTGTATAAATATGCAGATGACAGACTGAAAAATCTTAAATGCAAAGGGACTCTCACTGAATTGGAGAACAATTGAAAGCAAACAGAATCAAGAAGAGATAAACTGGGAGCTAACACAGAATAATTCAAAACTGAGACTTACAAAAAGGATTCCTTTTTTGACTCTTTAATTGGTATATTATTGTTACTGAGCACCCCAATACTTTAATTGGTATATCATTGTTATGTATTGACCACCCCGATTCTTTAATTGGTATATTATTGTTATGTACTGAGCACCCTAATTCTTTAATTGGTATATCATTGCTATGTATTGACCACCCCGATCTCTCCTCAAAAAAGGCAATCAGCAAACTCACAGCCTCAGAATTTGACCTTACTTGGGGGTAAGGCTGTCATCATGAAGGTAGTCAAGTTCAAATGAGTATGAGCATGAGCCCTGACCCAGTGTGTCTTATATTCTTATAGAAAGGTAATGTGCACAAAAGATAGACATGGCCCAAAGGAAGAAGACACACACAGAGAACAGCATGGCTGGATGTAGGCAGGATCTGAGAGATGCAGGTTCAAGGCCCTGTGCTCCTCAGATGACCGGGACTATGAGAGGAGCCTGGGAGGAGAAAGGCACAGATATGGTGGTAGCTTGTCTCAACTTAACATAGGTATTAAGGATACACATATACTTGTTCTTTTTGTTCTTTCAATTTGCCTTTTTAAAACTTTATTCTAAATCAAAAAGGTGCTTTTCTATCTCTTAGCCCACTTTTTTAGCATGCTGAATCTGCTTTCCTATGGCAAACATGTATTATAAGTCTGCTAGGTTTTCCATAACGAAGAAATAGAAACTAGGCAGCAGAAAGAAACTCACTTTCTTATTGTTCTAGAGAAGTAGACTTCTACTACAATGTTAGTGAGGCTAGTTTCTCCAGAGCCTGCTCTCCTACTGTGTAAATAAATGACAGTCTTTTCCCTGTCACACATATATGGTCACCCTCTGGAGATGTCTTGTCCAAATCTCCCCTTACAAGTCATACTGAGCTAGGGTCCATTCTGATAATATGATTTTTTTATCTTAGATACTTCTCAGGCACCTTATGTGTAGTACAGATGTACTGTGAGCCAAAGAAGGTTGGGGTTTTATTGTGTCTCCCAACACCACTGACTTTTGTTTTCTATATATTATTAATTATGTCAACTTCTGAACTTTGAATTCTAGTTATTAAGAGCACATTTTTAAAAATCTCATCCTATGATCATAATGCCTTTTTAAGTAATGCTAACCATGTGGTGTATGGAATTTTAAGTTTGTAATTACATTATTAGGTAGTCACGTTTACATATCATTCAGGAGCATTAAGAAGCAAGATCACTCATACAATGTGCAAATTGTATTATAGTTTTCTAAAAATTTTGATATCCAACCACATAAGCATATGTCAAATGGCATTAACATGCAATACAATATTATTTTATATGAAGTAAATTATTTCTTCTGGTATCTAGATTATAAGAAAAATAGAGGAATCAGAAACATTGAAGTCAAAATAATTGATTCCAAATATCTATTGACGTGAAAATAAGCATGATTTCTAAATGATCAATTATTTTATTCAAAGACATTATCTTTTAGCAGCTCTTTGGGCCTTGTGTTACTTGTTTTCACTACACATACAAAAAATTAGTAAAAAAGGAAAAAAAATAGTTGAAAACTCAAAGTGGTTTTAAAGACAGGCATGGTGACATCAAGGTAAAACTCTCAGCACTTAGGAGGCTGAGGCTGGAGGATTGCTTCAAGTTTGAGACTAGTCTGGATTACATAGGAAGACCTTGTCTGAAGTGTTTCTGAGTAATTTCAATCCGGTGAATGTGCCCACCCATCTCTTCCAGCATTTCTCCATTTATCACATGGAAAGTTACATGCACATCCTCAAGCACAAACAATAGTTGTGAATATTATGCTACTTTTGTTATACATCTGGAGATCTGGTTTCACTGCATAATTTTACATTTCCAAAAAGTACTGTACCATGAAGCATGAGAGAGTTTTCTAGAGTCTTGTTTTCATAATGAAAGTAGAAAGGAACAGATGATGGTGATGATGATGATGATGATGATGATAATGATGACGATGACAAGCACCAAATGGCGTTTCATGCACTCTATGCAGTCAAGTTAGTTAAGTTAGTCTGCTTCCTGACACAGTACTGTGCAACAGTCAATACCAAGCAGTAAGAGGTGCGCCATTAAAGATACATGGTGCTTTATAAACCCAGACTGTGCAGAAAATGCAGTAAGATAAGTTTGGTTGGAAAGGGCAAACTGCTGCAAAGTTCACTAGAATGTAATTGTGCATTGCTTATTTAAAGAGAGAATGTAAATTCTGCTTTCTTTCCAGTCGCAATTACTCTTAGAAGAAACTCCAATCAGCAAATGTGCTTTTCTAACCCCATTTAGTTTGGTGTACTCTAGTTGAGCCTATTATTTTTACTCTGGAGATCTGTATGTTTCATTTAGCAACCTTCCCACAAATCCTTCACTAACTAGCCAGTCCCCTTGTGCCTAAAACTACACAGCTTCAAATAGCACTGCTTCTAATTGGATCAAAATGAGTAAGCTTTGAAACACAAAATCGATACCCAAATAACGACTTAATCATGAATACCTATTTAGTTACTTACACCTGTTTTTATATTTTATAATTAGCAATAAAGTTGTAAATAATTATAAAATCAGTGATGGGTACTTAACACAAGTGATTATCTCACATCCAGGGCTGCTGAAAGGTTTCTATATTACTAAAAAGAATAATATCACTGTCCAGAAATAATACCTTATTAAATAAATGCATTACTTATAAAGAGGCTTCTTTTCTGGTTTTGTTTTGATTGCTTGTTTATTTCTGAGACAGGGCCTCAGACTGTAACCCAGCCTGGCCTAGAACTCACTATGTATCCCACGGGCTGGTCTCAAACTCATGGCAACCCTGTTGCCTCACACTCTCAAAGGGCTAGGACTGTGAATGTGAGTTACCATGCTAGGGGTGTTTGCAGTTTTATTCTGGTGAACGAACATCAGACTTACACGATACATAAAATTGATAGATGAATATTTTTCTTTCAAACATTAATAGGGCCTGAGATGATATACATATTCCCACAATCTTAGGTTATTCATTTCTAACTTGAAGCATATATATATATATATATATATATGTATGTATGTATATATATGTATGTATGTATGTATATATGCATATATATGACTAAAAATGATTAGATGCATTAAATACTATCCATCCTATCAGCCAATAGTAGGACAGCAACAAGTAACTGAGGAACATTGCCCTCAGTCCACAATTTTAGAAGATATGAAAGCATCAACTTATAAATTATAGTAAATATATTGTACTTTTTAAGTGACATCCTCCAAAAAAAACTAAAATTTCTGTGATTCAAAGTTAAAGCAAATGATTACAAGGAATTATTCCTTCCTACTTAATGGAAGTTCGTGTTGTATTTAAATTTAAGAACTTCACCAAATGTAAAGCAAGCAGAGTATCTCACATAAATATATGCAATGAATGATGTGATACTTCATCAAGGTAAGTACAAAAACATATCTCATCAAGAAGAGCTACTACCCAAGTAAGAAGGACTCTCTTTAGTAGGGTAAGACACAAGGAAATAAAAGCTCAGTTTATAATGAAAACCACCCATGTGCCACAAAAAAGGATCCAATAAGCCATTGATTAAACCAATGCTTACCAAAAAGAAAACTGGCATAATTTTACTTGGTCAACTTCAAAACTGATTAAAGGAAATGAAAGTAATGATAAGACAAAAATAGAAAACTTCTTCAAAAGTGATAATGGTTAATTTTTTGTAATTATTACCTACTGATAAAATGTCTGAGTAATTTTTTACCAGTTTAAATATAAAACAATTAATAAAATCCTAAAAAATGTAATATAAATAATATATAGTGTAAAACAATTGCTATTTAGATTTATTATAATTAGATGATGATTTATACTTAAGATAACTGGATAACTTAATACAAATGAAGAGATAGAGCAAGTTAATTAAAAGTTGGGGAAAAGATTAATGTATGCAAATACATGTAATCTAATTAACATAATTAGATGCCTTTTCTTAATTTAAATATATTTCCTATATTTTAGGGTAAATAATTTGCTTTAAAGTCAGAGATGTGGGAGTTGAAGAGTTGGTGCTCCTCACTGGATTACCTGTGATGGAGCGAATCCAGCCATGTAGAAAGCAGAAGACACGAGGGGCACCTCAGCCTTCAGGAGCATTTCAGTGTAGTGCGTGCTGCAGAAATATATGGGGTGGATTCCAGTTTCAATGGTGTCAGCAGGAAGGTACTTCTGCATGAAAGGGAAGTGGAAGATAGTAACTACATGGATGATTTATAATAATCAAACATATACTTAGCCGAGTCTTTCTGCTCAAGCCATGGTTCACTGTTTTAAAATTTATATGACAGATACAGTCAGCTGACAGCATGCTTACCTCCAGTGCACAAGACCCAGCACAACTTAAACCAGGCGTGCTGGTGCAAACCTTAAATCCACAAATATCACAAGTTCAAGGTCATCTAGGATACACAGAGTTTGAAGTCAACCAAGGCCACATGAGACCCTGCCTCAATAGAATGAATTAATATCTGAAAACCAAATTTATGTGGTGATGTCATACACTACACAATCACTATAAATATGTAAATGTCAGAAAGTTTAACATTGTAGAACAATAAACCTCAATAAGGGTAAGGTTATGTATCTTTCCAAAGCAGAGGAATATGGGTAGCTTGTAACTCAGGAAACTTCAAAGCTTCTGGTTGCAAAGGGTTGCTTGAAAAATATAAATAATAAAATTGAGATGTGATCTCGGTAGGACAGGACATGTGAGTCTGGCATTCTCAGTAACATAAGACCATGTAGAAATACATATATTAGTAACTATGGGTTATGACTTAAGATAGAGGCAGCCAATAAGAAGCTCTAAACATTGGCCAACAGCAATATAATTCATACAACATCTTTATATGTTGTTTTGGGGCTGACGCGGCTCTGGGACCAGGCTGGTGGGAAAGTGCTCATAACAAAATGGCACCTGCAACGTGGGCACTAAGATCTTCCACTTAAAACTTGACAAAAGCTTAAGAAAGGATTTAAAAAAAAAAAAAATAACAGAGACAAGCAAGGCTTCTTAGTAGCAGCGTTTTTCTCGGATGGGCTGTTTTGCTAGAGACAGGCAGACTCATGCAACTCCTTTAAGGGAGGTTTCCTGGCTCTGCATAAGCAGAAAAAAAAAAAACGCAGGGCTCTGTTGAGAGGCCCCGCTAACAACTGAATGGTGTGTACAAGAGGCGGCAGCAGCAGTGACCACCTCTTCAAGCCAGCAGCATGCTGCTTGACGGCAGCGTAGACCAAGGCAGTGAGCACAGCTCTCCATGCTGCCGGTAAATGCACTCCTGCCATATTGGATAGACAGTGGCTAAAACAGCTGCCGCTTTAATTTTAGCAATGTTGTAGAGGAGATAAAAGACTCATGACTAGAAGAAGGTAGAGATATACAGTAAAGACAGATTTTTTAAAAAAAGTAAAACCTCTGAAGGTTTACAGTGTGTTTAAAAATATACATAGGCTTGTGAGAGAGAAAGAAACAGGATAAAGTGGTTTAAAAGAAAGAAAGAGAGGAAGTAAGGAATAAGGATGGAAGGGAGGTAGGAAGGAAGTGGCTGGGTATGGTGGCACACGCCTTTAATCCCAGCACTTGGGAGACAGAGGCAAGCAGATCTCTGTGAGTTCAAGGGCAGCCAAAGTTACACAGAGAAACCCTGTCTCAAAAAAGGAAAAAATAAAAGTAAAAGAAATAGCGTAATATAAAAGCTATGTAAACATGGAAGACACACAGAAAGTCTGGATACTGTATGTCATTGTGTTGTCTTTGATTTGTTTGACTGCTAAGGAAATAACAACTGCTAAAAGAAATACTGCTGGATTAATTAAACTTATATATTTTAAAAATGCCTTGACTGAAAAAATTAAGTATAAGGATATGTTACTTTGGAAAAAAGATTTTATTTTTGTTTCCACAGAAAATGAAAAGCTGTGGATTCCTTCCTGAATAATATGGCTTGATGAAGCAAGACCCCCTGAAACTGTGTCCCACGTGATCCAACATTCAAAACAGCTGGGACAAGGCAGCCTTGCAGACTACAGCCAGGATTTCTGCATCTTCTTAGGATCCCCAAGACAGTGCCCCCTACCAATAGGAAGCAGTTTGGAAAGAACAATGCCCATATTTGTTTTCATTTAAATGGGGTTTCTTATAAATGGTAATGACCACAACCAATCTCTTTTTAAAGGTAAAAGGGGAATATGGTATGGAAATGAATAGTTTGTATTGGAATGGATTTTCATTTATTGATACAAATTTAAGGTCAATTTTGTGATATGTATATTTCTCCTCTTGTATAAGTATTGTGTTTATACAATTCATTTAAAAGCATAATGTATAATTAAGTACCAATTATAGATAGTTACCTATAATAGTCAAAATTTAGGTTAGTTGGGTTTTCTAGATACACAGAGATATATTTCAATTGGATAGGCATTCTTCAAACCTTTCAAAGACCTACCGGATATGGCATTTAAAATGATGTAGGGTTTTCCCTGACAGTGAGACACAACTGTTCCTGGCCAAACCAATTACAGTTCAGAGGATGATGGGCACTGAAGAAATTCGTTATATATAGAGATTGGTTTCAATATGGCCAGACTAGCCATTTGGGCAAGAAACTTCTCTTGGCTAGACTGTTTGACTGTATGCTGTATAAACCAGGCATGCAGAATCCACTGTAAGGTGACTGCTGAAATTGCAAAACAAGATGGACAGTCCAAAAGGGTCCCTGCTTCATGGAAAAGTCTGCCAGACATTCTCCAGGACACAGAGAAAATTGACTGACAAACTGACAATACAAGCTTTGTGGAGAAGTCTGCCAGACACACTTTGGCCTATGGGCTGAAGATGGATGCCCCAACATTACAAAAGAACTTCAGGTGACTGACCAGGCATCGAGTTGTCCCTGTCAGTTCTAGAGTTGATATACTATCCTTTTGTAGTCTTTGATGGAGTTGAAGACAGATAGTCATGGTTATAGCTTTCCTTAGTTAGGATTAAAGATAAGTTACATGTAAGACTTTAGACTCACAAAGATAGGATAGATGATGGAATATTTTCTTTAAATCTTGCTAAATGTTAATAGACTTTAACTCATAGCTGGCCTTGAATTAATCAGAACACAAACTGAGAGTTCCATAATAAACTCACTTCTAAGCTTGGGGAAGTGTATAATGTTTATGCAAAGGTTTTCCATTAACAACTTTCATGAAATCATATGTATGTATGTATGCATACACACACACAAGCATAGATATACTAAATTGTGTATGAATATATATGTGTGTGTATGTGTATATATATATATATATATATTTACATATATATATATATATATATATTTGCATATAAACACAAACAGGTTTTCAACAGTGTGCTTACAAAGAGTTGAGCATTCTAAAGGTCTAGATTTTAGGCTTGGGAATGTAGTACAGTGTAGATCTCTGACCTAACACACAGAAGAAATGAAGCTCAATTATCAGCTTCCACTTAAAAAATAGTTCTCAGGTGCAATTTATGTTTATGAATAATTGAGGATATTTATGTGTTATGATTATAAATTTAGTATCAACAAACAATCATCATTTATAGCAAAGAATAAAAAAAACTCAAAGATGTAATGGTGTGAAGAAAACTGTTTTAATAGCAATTAGACCTAGGCCTGAAGACGACATAATTAACAGCTCGCCCTAAAGGTCTTAACTTTACCATAAATTTCAACTCTTTTTCCCAAAGATCTTATTTAAATTTTTAAAAATTTCCTACTTTTAGATAAAATAAACAAAACTCATAAAATTACATAAGGATTAAAACATGTGGACACCACTTTGGACTTGTTATGGTTCGAGCATTTACTATGTTTATGTAATGACGTTTTGGAATTACTACATGGGTTTAACAGTGATTTTCATTTTTTGCCACTTATCAGAAATGATGTATTAGTCCTTCAAATTACAGAAATTTATAGTTTCAGGGATAAATCAGTGTAAATACTGTGTGTTTTATGGCAAGTTCTCTAGGCGATACTGCACATAAAAATGCTTAAATACTGATGAAGTCATAGCACATTAAGTGAACATCTTAGGTCATTTTTATATAGAGAACAAGGACAATGCTTTTTATTAGGTAGTTCAATATAATGCACAGTATGAATTAATAGCCACTGATTTGCTACTTGTCAAACACAAAATGTGGTTCACTCACTTTACATAATGAGTAAATCTGACAAACATAAAATGTAAAGATTAACTTACACATTTATACTTTCAATGTGAACTTACTAATGTTATGCAATATGTACAGAGGCAAGTTTACGAATAGAATGTACTGGACCTAATTTTTAAACAGCATTGTTCTATGCTGTGGTAGAAATATCTTTAGAACAAGCCTATGAAGAGATAAAGACAGTAGACATTAATTATGCTGTCAAAGAAAACAAGCCATTATTATGTAATGGAGTCCCAAAGATAAGACAAGAGTTCCTCTATTCTTATAAATCATACACTGTCAAAAGAACTTTTTCAAGTCACACTTTTGATAACCAACCAGTTCCTGATACCAAATGTGCCATATGTAATATGGGCTAAATAGCAAGAGTCTAATGACTGTAGTTATTATTACAGTAAACTCACTTATAATTAACATCATCTAGCTTATCTGTTATTTGAATATCATCACTCTAATCTATAGTAAATGGTAGTTATAAAGCAGAGAAACAACAACAGAAGGTTCATATGAACAAAACAAAGTCCATGAACCACCATACTATAATTTGCACTTTCAGTTCAACTGTAACACCCTGAAATAATATCAACACTTTCATATTCAGAGAACACTATGATTAATGGCATTTAAAGTCATATGATAATAGGAACTAGTCTAATTGCCAAAATAAAATCAGTAGACCAAAGGCTTAGAAGATACTAGAATATGACAGGATTTGAAATAAAGTCCTTCTAAAATAACTTTAGAATATTATGTGCTAGTGGTTAAAATGAAAGACAATTAAAAATGGAGCAGAGCAGTCTTAGTTTTTTACTTTGACTTTGACTGTTTCTCATGAGTCATTTTATTCCTGAAACTATGAGAAACCGAGTTTTGTGCTGCAATGGGAAGTAAGTAGAAAGGCAGTATTAAAAGGATTTGAAGCTTTCCAATCCAACACACACTGATCCAATGC